GTTGCATGAAGTTCCTCATGCCATCCATCAATCCTCTTGCCCCAACTATGAAATTTTGTCCTACTCCACTTTTTGAGTATTTCGTAAGTCCCACTTAGCTTGTTTTGCAAGTCGACATGCCTATCATCTAGCTAATCTTGGCGTACAACATCTTTACATTTTGCTTCAAACATCCAAGCTGCTTTGAAGAACTTCTTCTTCCTTACTACCCAAAGTCATCTTGTTTGACTAGCCCCCATAGGGTCAATCAAAATCGGGTAGTGATCTAATGTGGAACATGTAAGATGCCCTACTAAGAAGTTTGAGAAGCTATCCATCCATTCTTTATTACCAACTACTTTGTCCAACCTTTCTTGGATCTGATTTTTCATTGTTTTACCTCTACTCCAAGTGAATTTAGGTCCTGTTAACCCCAATCATATAGCTCCATTTCTTCTAGCATATTTCAAAATGCTAACATCTGTCCTTCTGGTCTCTCATTGCTACCTTTTTTTTTGTTAGTCCATAGGATCTCATTAAAGTCCCCATACACATCCATGCCTGTGTATTATTATGCCTTAGTCTTCTAAGCATCTCCCATGCTCTGTGTCTCTTTAAAATGGCTGGCTCACCATAAAACCCCGTAATCCTACCATCTACTTTCACTAAATCTACTTTCACTAAATCCATGTCGATATGATATTAGAGTAACTTCTCACGTAAAGCTTATTTTTTTTCTCTCCAAAGGATAGCTAACCCTCTAATCCTTCCCACAACATCAACTACAAGCATTCCAGTATAATAACATTGTTATCGCACCTTATCAATATTCACTTTATTAAAGATGGCTTTTGACAGAAGCACCACTTTAGGATCTTCTCTTTTCAGAATGTTTTGAAGATTACAAACTGCTCATAGGTTCCCAAACCTATGGCAATTTCATGCGATACACCTCACTGCACTTGCTGGGACTGGAAACCAATCTCTATCAATTCTTTACGGCTGTTGTCCCTACCTTCTTCTTTATCCCTCTTGCTTATTTTCCTTTCCACGTCAACCACCGTCTCTAACCAAATTATTTCCTTCATGTTTCCTTTTTCCCATGTCGACATGCCTGCTTGGTTGAGTCTCTCTTGTCATCCTCACTAGTCTTTTCTATCTTGGTTTAAACTGTGCCCTGTGGTCCACCTTTAGGTTTCCATTCTTGCCCTCTTTTTCATTATTCCTATGTAAACTTACTACATGTTCACTTTGTTCAACCATATGTGGTGAATCAATCCCCAATTAAAGCTATTCCAATAAGACTCCATAAATATTTTTACATGAAACCATATGGTTAGGCTGTGTGCTTACGTTTGGGCCTTTGTTTCCTAATTTACATTCATCACTAGCAACCCTTTGATTAGTGGGCCTTATTTCATAGCCTTCATCTACTGTAGTATAGTCGTGATGAGCCTTTTCATTATTCACCTCCTTTCTTTTTTCATGCAAATTAGGGGAATTCAAATCTCGTGTAATCCTCTCCCCATCCCCTAAAATATCTCTATCTTAATCGGCCAAATATCGCTATCATGCTCGTGCAAATTCTTCTGCCCGACCGTTACATCCAACTTACGCATGACACTCCCGTCGACCGTCGGCCTAGGTGTTTTACTATTATGATTGGTTTCCTATCTGGTTCCATAGACTTTATTATCCCTCTTACCTTTATCCCACATAGATGGTTTGTTCTTAAGTGGTAAAGTGCAAAGATAATGTCCGTGCTATCTTGTAAATTTAGCTGATCCTCTTATCCTCTCTTCTTATGCTTTCATCCTTGATATGTCCAATCCTTTCGTACACATAGTAGAAGCTTGTTAGTAATTTATAGCACAATCTACCTTATATTTGCTTCCCTTTGCTTCTGTTTGAGAGAAACTGTCCTCCGCAAGGGCTTAGAGATATCTACTTTAACTCTTATTCTTAGGAATCGCACCATCCCCCGTGTTCAACTGTTGCATCCACTTAATGTAACTAACCTATTTTCCTCTCTATTCTGGTAGCATTCTCTTGGTTCATCATTCCTAGAGGCAAGCCATACACCTTTATCCAAAAAGAGCTTTGTAAACACATATTCCTCCAGTCATAACATCCTGTCATATGTATTAAAACCAATCAACTGTCTATCGAAGCTCCAAGGCGATCTTTCAATCACCTTTTTCATATCTGCCCTTCAGGAAAACTTAAGAGGAATAGGTGATCATCAAGTCTATGATTTCACGTCTACACCTGACGAAAACTTAAAGAGATGCATTATATGAAGCAATTAAAGAGGGATATTTTTGTAATTATGGTTAAAGAATACCATAGTAATTTTAGTCACAGATAAATATGAGGAGTACTTTTTGTAATTATAATAAAAGAGACATTATAATAGTTTTGAGTAATTATGGTAAGAGAAAAAAGAAAAAAAAAATACGTGACATACAATAAGTATCAAATGGATCTTACGAAAAAATAAAATTTAAAATTGTTTTTATTGAATATTTTTTAAAAAAAATTAAATTTAAGAAAAGTAGAAAAAGTAAAAAATAAAAAAAAATTTATATAAGTGGGTTTCAAATATTTAAAAAATCTTCAAAAAAATATATAATAATAATTCTATAATTTTTAAAAGTATTTATTAAATAATTTTTAAAAAAAAGTAAAAAAAATAATAAAACCTATAAAAATGACACACAATAAAAAAAAAGAAACTGTAAACTAAGTATCATTCAAGTGTGTTTTAAAAAATTTTAAAAAATCTTAATTACTTTTTTAATTTAAAAAAATCAAAAAATATAAAAAGAGAAAAGTAAAAAAAATTTAATATAAGTGAGTTTCACACATAATAAAAATATAATTTTTATAAATATATTTTATAATTTAAAAAATAATGTTTTAAAAAAAGTAAAAACATAAAAAAAAAGGGCGCGACACAAGACAGCCCAAGGGAAAAGTCCTGCATATATTATATAAGTAAAAGTATTCTCATAGATATGGTTTTGCCTTCTTTTTTTTTTTTTTTGTCATAGCTGCATATATAATATATTTTACTCATGTAAAACTTACTATTGCTACAAAATCTTTTTGAGCTAAATTAAACTGTTTAATTTTTAATTAAATTAAATTAAATGATAACTTTAATTAAGAAAATACATAAAGATTAAATTATAAATTAAATATTTACAGTGTGTTTGGATTGAGGGGAAAGGAAGGAAAGAAAAGTGAAATAAAGGAAAATAAAGAAAATAAAACCTCTTCCATTTGTTTGGATAAATTTTTAATTTAAAAAAAAAAAAAGATGTGAAAATCAAATAACTTTTTGTTTTTCTTATAAACCCAATTTTTTTAATACCTCAAATTGGAGGAAAAATTAGGGAAAGGAAAATTGAAAAATTTTTTTATAAAAAGATTATTATATTCTTCTTTTTATTAATACTAAAAACCTAATGAAAAAAAAACTAAGCAGATCACAATCATTTTGTAATTTTTTTTAAAGCTATCTCTTTTTTTGAAGTTTCACATATCTCTTCCAATATAAAAATTTTTTATAATTTTTTGGTGATTTGATTTTAATGAATAATTGAATATGAATAGACATATATATTTGGGTTTATGAGATGTCAGACTAGCTTAAAATTTTTTTATTATAATAATTAATGTATGTGAGTAATTAACAAATATTAATATTATTATTAGTAGTATGTATGAATTATTGTTAAATGCCTCATGTCTCAAAATTCTCTAATTCAATTTAGTTTTAATATTATTTTCTTTCATATAAGTGTTAGTGTATTTATTTTTATGATAACAATAATTATTGTTAATATTTTACTGTATAGATAAATAAACAAAGAAATAAGACCATTGATATAGTATCAATTGCAAAGTTAAACATGATAGTAAACATATCATGATCCATAAATGCTCTAAAATCACAAGTAATAAAAAGTTATAATTGAAAAAAAAAACTATTACAATGAATCATTTCTTTTTTTTTTTCACTTTTTATCCAAACAATGGTTGTTAAAATTCATTTCCTTTTCTTGCTTTTATTAATTTTAATTATCCAAATAATGGTTATATGTATTATTTCCTTTCCTTTAAAAACCTTTCTTTTCTTTTCTTTTCATTTCCTTTCATTTCCTTTATTAATAATTATCCAAACATAGCGTTAGGCTTTAATTTTCTTTAACACTATATTTGGATTGAGGTGAGGGAAAGGAAAGGAAAAGAAAATAAAAAAAAGTTATGAATAATATAAAAAAAAGATTCTTCCTTTGTTTGGATAAACTTTTAATTTAAAGTAAAGAAAAAAGATTCAATAATATTTAGTTTCCCTTGTAATCTTTACTTTTTTAATACCTCAATTTGAGGGAAAAGCTAAGAAAATTTGAAAAAAATTTTATATAAAAAGATTATTATATCTATATTTTTTTTAATATTAAAAACCTAGTAAAAAACCTAACCACATCACAATCATCCTATAATTTTTTCAAAGCCATCTCTTTTTTCAAGTAAATTTCACATGTTTCTTCCAGCATAAAAAATTTTTGTAATTTTTTATGATTTGATTTTGATAAGTAACTGAATATAAATAGACATATTTTTTTGAATATTATGAGATATTGGAGTAACTCACAATTATCCATTAATGCATGTTTGTAAAACATCTTTTTGTTTTACTTAAATAATTGTAAGATTAAATAAAATAATAAATATATTATAATCTAAAAATATTCTAAAATCACAAGTAATAAAAAATTATAATTGAAAAAATTATTATAATAAATTTTTTTTTCACTTTTTATCCAAATAATATTATTAAATTTTTTTTTCATTTATTAATTTTAATTATTCAAATAATAACTACATATATTATTTTTTTTCTTTAAAAAACTTTTTTTTATTAATATTTATCCAAAAATATACCGTTAGTTGAACACTTTTAATTACTTGAGCAAGACGGGCCTTGCCTTTGCCCAAAAGTTAATACATTCCTTCACCAATCACCATCGTTAATTACCTTGCGCGCTGCACCTCTACCAATATAAGATCAAAAACTATTCAAAAATCCCCCACTCTTCATCTGATCCCCAAGTCCCACGCTCTCTACTTTCCCTATCGCCATTGTCCCTTCTCAATTCCACCCCCATTTTTGTCATTTTCTCAATCAAATCAAATCAAATCAAAACCCAATGCCTCAGCTCGCCGAAACTTACGCTTGCGTCCCATCAACTGAGCGGGGCCGTGGTATCCTGATCTCCGGGGATCCCAAATCCAACAAGGTTCTTTACACAAATGGGCGATCCGTCATCATTCTTGACCTTAGCAATCCACTGAACGTTGCCATTTACGGGGAGCATGCGTACCCGGCCACGGTGGCTCGATTCTCGCCAAACGGGGAGTGGATTGCCTCGGCTGACGCGTCCGGCACTGTTAGGATATGGGGGACCCACAACGACCACGTGTTGAAGAAAGAGTTCAAGGTTTTTTCGGGTCGGATCGATGATCTCCAGTGGTCTCCTGATGGGATGCGGATCGTCGCCTCCGGTGATGGCAAAGGGAAGTCTCTTGTTCGCGCTTTTATGTGAGTGTTCTTTTCTTTTCCTTTCCTTTATTGTTGTCAAAGTCATTTCTTATTGTGGTTATTTGAAATTATATTTGATCCAATATCAGTATATGGATTCATGGTAAGGATTAGAATCTTCATTATAGACACTTTCGATGAACAATATGTTGCTGTCCTAAGATTGCTTAGAAACTTACAAAGTTCGATTAGGAAAAAGTGATTGTATTTGTTTTTGAACACTCTCAGACTTTTAATAAGTAATGAGATGACTGCTTGTGATTTTGTTTTTGTCAGAATTGTATCAAATCTATGCTCTAATAGTGTATCAAACATAAATCCCGAATTGCTAAAGTATATTTCAGACTTGGCGCTTGCTATAATTACTTTATGGATGGCCCCTATTTCCACGCAGATACTTGCTTCTTTAACGCAAATTGATCACATTTACATAGGTCCACATGCCTTGAAGAAATTTGAACATGCATGAAAATTGGGTTACCTTAACAGATCATCTGAAAGAGTAATTAACAAATGATTTTGAATTTTAATGTTAGAGCTGCATGGATGCTCTAGTGCATGATTCCTTGATCTTTGGTTTTTGACAGATTACCAAGGAAGCGAAAGAAACTTTTACTTTCCGTAAAATAGATTTTGTAGTGCTGTTCTTTATCTTGCACAAATTCTTATGCTACTATCATTAAATATCTGATGAACATTATCTTTCTCAGGTGGGATTCAGGCACTAATGTGGGTGAGTTTGATGGTCATTCAAGACGAGTTCTGAGTTGTGCCTTTAAGCCAACGAGGCCCTTTCGCATTGTGACATGTGGAGAGGACTTTTTGGTTAATTTCTATGAAGGTCCACCCTTCAGATTCAAGCTATCTCACAGGTTTGTTATAATGAAATTTTTTCCTTGACATTTTTAGGTATGATAAGATCTCTTTCACATAACGTTGATGGAATTAAAATGAGATTTTTCTTCTTTCAGGTAGACTTAAAAAAGCACTTTGTTGATCCGTGTTTTTACTTTTTACCATTGCAACCTTTATCAAAAATGATGGTGTATTGCAGCCAAATACATGCATATCAATCACAAACCTCTCCCGAGGGGTCTTCAGACTCACATTGATGTGCATTTATGTTTGAGATAAACTTGTGCAATTTGTGCTGATCACTCTAATAGTTTAGGCTATCTCAGTTGATATGTACATAAGTATTCATCTTTATCATATCTGTTAATCATAAGGGTTTTGTTGTTTCCTTTTTACCTCTGTCTCCATGTATCTGGAGTTAGGCTTTATGCAACCCTCCTTGTCTTAATGACATTTGTTTTACTAGTTGGTTGACCAAAGCTTGGAAATAGTGACGCAAGAATTTTGGTATACTTCATTTTGTTATCATACATTGATTCACTTTATTATCATACATTGATTCTCATAAAAAAAATTGGTTATTTTCCTTATATTATTGAACTTTTACATGTAAAATTGGGATGGCTGTTGAGTGAAGTTGGTATCCATTTAGGAAACATGGAATCTGGCCAAATTGCAGGATTGGGTCCTGATGTGAACTATTGCAGCTTTAGTTTTTTGGAAACTAAAAACTAGTTTATATTAAGCAGAGCAGAATGCAGTAACCTTGTCAACCTATGTGCTCAATTACCCTCACAAGAAAATAATTGTCCAAAAAAAAAAAAAAAAAAGGAAACATGGAACTATTGTATGCAAATTAAATTTATTGTTTTTTTAAATGCAAATTAAACATCACTCTCTCCCTATTTCTCTCTCTCTCTCTCTCTCTCTATATATATATATATATATATATATATCATGCGCACGCACACAGAAGTACAAATATGATATTCTCAAAGACATGCACGCTCAACACACCTTTTCTTTATGTTTGGAGAATGTCTGATAACCCATCTTTATAGAAAAACGAAAAAACTTAATGTGTCTCTCTGATGTTTGGAGTTTATGAGTGTCTGAACTTTGGTATGTTCTTCATTTCACCTGTTAGTGCATATGCTGAAATACTTCAAATTTATATTTGCAGAGACCACTCCAATTTTGTAAATTGCGTAAGATTTTCTCCAGATGGAAGCAAATTCATCACTGTAGGCTCTGATAAAAAGGGTATTTTATTTGATGGAAAATGTGGGGAAAAGATTGGAGAATTATCGTCTGAAGATGCCCACAAAGGCAGCATTTATGCAGTCAGCTGGAGTCCTGATAGTAAACAGGTGAGCATGTGAGAACTTATATGCTTGGCAGTTGAAATTCCATGTAGATGCTATCAAGTTGATATCCCTAAAATAAGTTTACCTTCTTCTTTTTCTGTTATGTTTTATGCATCTGACGTGTAGCTGTCATTAGTTTTCCCTGATGCACTTTCTATCTGCTTAGAAAATAAATTATATTCTGAGCTATGGAACTGAATGTTAATAAAGTTTATGGCTGCTGTTGCCAATATTGTACGTAATTACTTATATGGCATACAATTTATTTCTCATGAGTGGGTATTCTGCTATATTGCATCTTGTTTTTAACTTTATGACAGTATCTTTTGTTCTCGACTTAGATTTTCTAGTGCAATTAAATTACCATCATGCTTTTTTCTCTCAAATATTACCCTATAGTACAAAAGGAATTCAAAGCTTCCACCTTCCCACCCACACCCCTGCTTTTTTTCCCCTCATTTCTGTGTATTTTAGTGTGTATGCTTCTATAGTTATACGAGTAATAGTTTTCTTTCTTGATGTGCCCTTTTTTGGTGCAATTTTACTTACCTTTCTTCATATTAATATACTTTTTTTTTGCTACTATTTCTTTCCAGTTGCTGACAGTTTCTGCTGACAAGACAGCTAAGGTATGGGATATCTCTGAGGATGGTAGTGGGAAGTTGAAAAAAACATTGACATGTTCTGGTTCAGGTGGAGTTGATGACATGCTTGTTGGATGTCTTTGGCAGAATGATCATCTTGTTACCATCTCTCTAGGTGGCACAATTAGTATATTCTCTGCTAGTAATCTCGAAAAAGCCCCACTTCAATTATCAGGACATATGAAGAATATCACTTCACTAGCTGTCCTAAAGAGTGACCCAACATGTATACTGTCTAGTAGTTATGATGGGCTAATAATTAAATGGATTCAAGGTTTGGGATATAGCGGTAAATTACAGAGGAAAGAGAATTCTCAAATCAAATGTTTTGCTGCTGCTGAAGAAGAGATTGTTACTTCTGGATTTGACAATAAGGTACCTGTCTTTTTATTTCTAGTCTGATGAAATGTCTTTAAGATTCACTTGGTTGATTTTTGTTTTTCTCTTTCTTTTTCTAATTGGAGGAGGATGAGAACATGCTTTTTGTGTCTCATTGGCTTATGTATTTACGTTTTTTTTTAAGTGGTATGTCTATTGCTTAGCCTCCTAATTATTAACAGAAGGCACCCACTCAGATATGGATAAATGTCTAACATGAATATTAAATTTTCTCCTATATGTCAAAAGGTCACTTACTCATTTTAGTATCCTCTTTGAATTGTTGAATATATATCTGACATGAGTTAGGAAAAAATTGAAGTTTCAAAGTAATGTAGACTAATCCATTTATGGCGCAAAAATCGTGGTTTAGAATTAACATGAAACTTTTAAGTGATAATTATTTGAATAAAATATCATAAGTTTATGCTAAAACAAAAACATTTTCCTAATAGAACCTTTGAGGAGCGAAAAACTAAGGTAAAGTGTTAAACTTGGAAAATTTTTCCATTTTTTCTAATATTCGTGCACAATGATTCATTCAACGTATGCATGATTTAACATTCCCACATTCTACTTTCAATTGAACTGATTTTTATTTTAAATGTAGAGTAGCCTAATCTGTAGAATAGATTTTTACAGGATTTTAGTATCTAAAATAAATAGCGGCTTTAGGTTCTGGTAATGGTATGATGTTAGTGGTCTTTTATTCTCTCCCCTTATCCTTGTGTCTATCAACATGTTGATCTAGTTATTATTGAGTAAAGGTTAAACTGAGATCCGTATTTTGATTATCGTATTTCATACCTCATTATTATACCTATTCCAGATATGGAGAATTTCTCTACATGGGGATCAGTGTGGGGATGCAGAGTCAGTTGATATTGGCAGTCAACCAAAGGACTTGAGCCTTGCCCTTCTCTCTCCTGAACTTACTTTGATTACAACTGACTCAGGAGTTGTCATGCTCCACGGTACAAAAGTGGTGTCAACCATAAACCTTGGTTTTGCTGTGACAGCATCAGCAGTTGCACCTGATGGAAATGAAGCTATTATTGGGGGGCAGGATGGTAAATTGCATATATATAGTATCACGGGTGATACCCTTAAGGAAGACGCGGTTCTTGAGAAACACCGAGGTGCTATTACCGTCATACACTACTCACCAGATTTTGCAATGTTTGCATCTGGTGATGTAAATCGAGAAGCTATAGTCTGGGATCGTGTCTCTCGAGAGGTATTTCATTATGACCATGGATTTTCTTCTTTCTTTGTTCTTTTAGCATTTGAATGTCATATATTTTGTGCAGTAAAAGTGGCAATTGTGCAACATGTTGCCAGTCGATTCTCTCTGTTTCTTCATCTTTGTGTATTTATGATGATACACTCCTAAAAATGGAGAGACATGAACACAGTTTACTGCAGTGCCTATGTTTTTTAGTTAGTTTGTCTTTTTATATTACAATGATGATGATGAAGATCATTTTAGATTATGCTACTATGGTCTACATTATAGTGTTTGAGGCTTTCTGTTTTACCTTTTTCTTTCCCTAGTTTTCAATACCTTGAGCACATTGAAAGGCTACATTTATTATTGGGTCAATGTGTTGCAATGACTGGGTAGATTGCAATGCTTTTACACATTGTCATTGTGGTTTTCAATAATGATGGGGTATGTACTATTGAAATGCTTTGTTGCATATTAGAGCCCAAGAACACAAAATTTGTTGACTTTTTGTTTTAAACAAATGCTCTGCTGCAGGTAAAGCTTAAAAACATGTTGTACCACACTGCTCGTATAAACTGCCTTGCTTGGTCTCCCAATAGCAGTATGGTTGCTACTGGATCACTGGACACCTGTGTAATAATTTATGAGGTTGACAAACCAGCATCTAGCCGAATGACTGTAAAGGGAGCTCACTTAGGCGGAGTTTATGGATTAGCCTTTACTGATGAATACAGTGTGGTGAGTTCTGGCGAGGATGCTTGTGTTCGAGTGTGGAAATTGACTCCGCAATGATGGAGGCCAATAAAGAGATGTCAGGTCGGAATTAGAAGTTTGGTGAATTTGCTGAGTTTTACTGGGTTTTCTTTCTGTGAGGTTGGTCAGAATCAGGTGTCCAAACTGAAATATACAGGTTGGAGTTGGGTGATTTTGTGAACAGCATACTACCAGCCTTATCTTTTCTAGTGTCTGTGTTATATGGAAACAAGTGTTTTATTGAGAGCTGAGACCGGAGGAGATTTTGCTGCTCGGAATTGGCATTGTTTTCTCACGCCAAGAAGACGGTTCTCATGTGGATTTATTTAAATGATGGTGGCTTCATTTGTAAACATTGTATGTTAAAAAGTATGGTGTAAGGTGTGCAACCTATTTGTATGATTAGCTATGGCAGACCCTCAGTGGAGAACCTCGAGACTGGGAAGTGAATTTCCTTGGAGTGGTAGGATTGCTTGATGTATTCTCTTGTGCATGTCCAAGTTAAATAGACTGCTAAAAGTTTGCGATTTCTCAATAATTCTTCGTTTTTTTTATACAGGTGCCATTGTTTTTAAGACTTTACTTAGTGGTAAAGAGCAGTGATTAAAAAAATTGTATCGGATTGGATCTGCCTTTTGGATTGGTTGAATCAGTAATCGATAATCAGTTCGGTCAAAAGGATTGTATACATAGATAGAAACGGGGTTTTACGAATCAGATAAAACAGCACATTAAATAGGTTTTGGGGTTTATTTTATTGGTTTTAAACCAGAAACCTCTTACATCTATGTTAAAGATCATACCATTAAATTAAATGCTTTTTTTTTTGTTCAAGTGTTTACTATATTTAATAGTTATTTAATGCCAAGATCATTAATTTAATATTGCAATCTCTTCTTAATTGGACTGATAATTTTGTTAATGTAATAATATTCTATATATTATGTAACTATGTAATCAAACGTAATATCTGTGATTATGATACATAATTAAAATAATATTTAAGATTATTGTGTTAATGTAATATTTTGTATATTATGTAATTATTAATCAAACATGATATTAATGATTATAATATTGTAATTAAAAAAAATCTAAGATTATTAAATAATTAATGATTATAATACTATAATTAAAATAATATTTAAAATTATTAAATAATTATGATATCGCATATAATTTTTTTAATTAATGGAAATCATATATATATATATATATATATAACACATTTATATAATATTTTTTGTATTTTTTTACGCTAATAAATTGAAGAGTTATTTTTCTTCTAACTTGATATCAAAGCTTCTCAGCTTAGTTTCTGTTTAAAATTCTGCTTAAAGATTTATGTTTATTATTTTTTAAGTTTTACACCTTCCTAAAAAAATCTTGTGTGTCCTTGTTACGAGCATCTTAATGAAATTTCCACACTTAAGAAACCACCAAAAAACTATCACATTCTCCTGCAGCTTTCTCAAATTTTTTCTCAAATTTTGTTAAATATTCGAATTCCTTCAAAACTACATTTGATATTAATATATTATAAATTCATATTACTATGTTTTTATATAGAGGTTTTGTTAGCGTCGAGCTATTCAACTAAGGAAATAACCTAAAATCACAAGCTCGAAAGATGGTTAGAAGTAAAAGCCAAAGGTTTCTTTGATATTTGTATTCCAACACTTAAGTCAGTGCTCAAAAAAAAAAAATAAAAGAAATCTTAACAAGAGAGAGAAAGAAATTGAATGAATCTACCTATATGAGGGGAGCTATTTATACCTGTAGGCTGAGAATGTCGAGCCTAGATGACTCGAGTTTTGAGTAGTGGATCTAAAACTAACGTTGCTAGCTCGACCTGATCTAGCAAACAATAATCCAATTAGGAGATGATAAATTAGCATTCTCATTTGCCTTCAAGTAGAAAGTTGAGATGACCAAGCTCATGTAGGTCCTGCGATATCAAGTTTGCTCGACACATCAACTCAAGTTAAAAATGAGAAAATTGCCCTTTCTTGTTGATAAGTCATCCTCTAGAAGGAAAAGTCCATACTCCCCCACCAAGTAGTCTAACATGTCAAACTAATGGGAGGTTGATTTGAGCAATCTGTTACCCATAAGATTATGCTTCAAGTTGAGTGTGGAATTTTTGTGATATAAATGAAAAGGTTGTCTTTATTACATATCAGATTAAAGATGTGATCATTACGGAGGTGAGTTAATAGTTATGATAGTGCCAACGTAACTTTTGTAGTTTATGCTTAAGTGGTGTCGTTGTCCCAACCTGAAGCCTTTATTTGTTGCCCTAAACGTGACCAACGTAACATTTGCATAATATGATTGGCATAACATTCATGTAATATATACATAGTATGACCAACGTGACATTCATGTAATATGACCAATGTGACACTTATGGGTTGTAGATGAATCAGCTATTGATTTATCTAAATTTGCATTTAATGAGGAGAAAGAAATTCAAATGACAATTTGAAATTTTGGACTATTCTTTGAATTTAAACAAAAAAGTCGAAAGGTCATCCTTGGTATGTGTATGATGACATGAGCCAACCTAGACCGCTCATTTGATCTAGGACTTGTCTATTTAAAGCCTTTAAGACCTTTGTTTCTTCCTTTTCCAGCTTTTCTTTTACTTTTTTACACTCTTACTAATCTATTTTTACCAATCTCTAGCTTTCTCAGATTTTTTGTCTGACCTTCCTTATTTCTTTTCATATCCTTGGTACGTCTCTCAATTTTAACTATGTTTTATGATTCAAATTTGTTTAACTTTAGGATAGAAGTTAGGATGGGTCAATTCGGCAAGGATATGGTAAAGGTTCCTTCAAATGATGAGGTCCCTTCTGTTATTACAAGAAAATATTACTCTCAAGTTGCCTACTAGTTGAATTCGATATTAGCATAGCGCTAAAAATAGATAGAAGAAAATGCCCAAGCTATGGACGAGATGGTCTTTCATGGGATAGATGAGCTCTTAGTAGCAATAGATTTTGATCTCCAAAATTTCCCTATTCCCACAAATGCAATTAGTTCAACTTATGCGACTAATTTTCCTTTATCCTTTTCAATTTCTTCCTCCTCAATTCCTTCACCAATTACCTCTAGTCAAACTCTTATTTTTGTCAAACCATTAATGATTCTCATCAATGCCTAGATGACTATTAGTCAAGCCTCAAACTCAAATCTAATTCTAAACAGTCTTTTACCATTTAGGAATCTTCATTTTCTTTTTATGTCATTGAGGTCCTTACTTCTGCTTATACTTAAAGACATTTTTAGGCTCTAGTGGTTGAGTAAACTAGCAATGAAGCTTTTTGAACTAGCCAAGTTTAGGATTTTGAATAGGCTGAAGGGTCTGACCAAGACACAAAAAAAGGCTGAAGTGTCAACCCAAAAGACATGATAACAAGTTTAAAAAGTCGAGCTACTCCTAAGGATTGCCTTAACTTTTATTCAATTCATCATGTCGCCACTATGAAAGATGGTTTTGACTTTACTTTAAAAGGTTATAGGATAATAATGCTGACATCCTAAGATAAGATCATCAATACGGTAGAGTCTAATAAGATATGGGTTTACTAGGACTCAATTTTGTCTATTTTAAGTTTCCTCTTCATTGTTTTATTGTTGAACTTCTTTTAGCTTACAATTTAACTATCACTTAGCTCACCCCTAATTCTTTTAGGTACAAATAGGTTTTATTATTCTTAGTAAAGAGTTAAGTCTTCTCCTTACCTTAGGTTTCTTTAAGAAATTTTATGCTATGAAAAGGAACCGACATGATAATAGCTAGTACTACGTTACAACTCGTCCTTCAAAATGAAATTTTGCTAACTACCTAAGCTCAAAAAAAAAATGGAAAGTTCTCTTCTTTTGAATTGAAAAGGTTAAAGGGGTTTGAAAAATAAATAATAAGCCGAGCTTATTCGATGAGGCTAAAGCGGGCCCTCTGACCAATGATGAACTTGGGGAAAGAAACGAATAAATGATTTCCTTAGAGATGCGAAATTAATAATAGATGTAAATGAGCTGACCTTCCCTAGTTTTATTAAGAAGATCAAATATTGGGGTAATTTTCTTACTAACTTCTTGCAACAAGTATTTTTGTATTCATATTTTCTAACTTTCATGTCGATTTTTTGTTTCAATTAAAGATATAACCGATCAAAAGTCAACAGGTTTTGACATGATCAGATTCATCTAGCCTCTAAAAAAGAGAATAAGGGGTAAAAGTCCTTCTCAACTAGGTGGCCTATCTCGAAGCATTAAGATTATTGACCCATCACCTCCTTAACCTAGTCAGGTTGACAGAAATAGTCCTACAGCAATGCAAAAACTAAAATAGAAAATGGCAACTTAAAAGCCCTAAAAGAGGCTGCGGTGGAGTCTTCATCTATAAGTTATGCCACTTAATTCCACCTTTCCTTCAAAAGGCTATCCATTAGCTTTAAGTTTGATTTTTCAAAAAAAGCTTACATTAATCTTGAGGTGGTGAAGAAAATTGCTTGAGCTACCATGGTTAAGAAAAGTCAATCACTTATCAATCATTGTAATATAAATTTATATTTTATAGAATTATTTCTTTGAGCTCGATTTTTTTTTTTGTTTTCTAGTTTCTAAATTAACTCCCCAAGTTTGTTTCTCAAAATGTTGCTCAGATCAGTTCATTCATACATGGTTTTTCCTCATTTTACCAAAGGCCAGTAAAACATAAAAAACTATTCCAAAGAGCTCAACTCTTTTACTGAGTTTGTGAAAAAGTTCAAACTCTCCAATTCTAAATATAAAAAGACAAATAAAAAGCTCGATTAGAAGGTTGAAAATTTGACTCAACTACTAGATGACATGTTAGTCCAAAAGGCCACAACTAAATCTCTACAACAACAATCCAACCTGAAATTGTCTAAAGCTTTGGCTAAGGTGGAAAGCTTGAAGAGTGAACTTAGACTTCTAAAAAAGAGCAATAGGTTGTAAACAACTTCCTTTAATCTCATGATTTTTACAACATGTAGACTAATTTTGCTTGGCATCAAGTGCTCTCTTTTGACTTAGCACTAAAAGAGGTGAAGTCAATCTATGACCATCTCGATCTTTCTATGATCGATATCAACAATCGAGGTACAACAAGTTACAATCGAGGAAAAAACTCAAGATGAAGAATAAGAAGGCAATGATGATATGAAAATCAATGTTGTTATGGCTACTATAGTTGGGATAGGCCAAAAAGGTGGGGGAGCTAGTGAAAATGCAAAGGATGAAAGTTAGTATGGTGAGCATGAGGCACATGCTCCTAAGGTGCAACCCGATGATGAGGCTTGATGTGATTTTCTTTCTTTTTTCTTTCTTTGTAACTTTTAATCAATTACTATTAATGAAAAATTCTTTTATTTCAATCTCTGAGTTCGGTATATGTAGACACTCAATTTGATCCAGGCCCGGATCAATTGGGCCTGGTCCAAATAGGTAAGTCTATTTTTTTTTTTGTATTTTACATTTTTATTTTATTTTTATTTTTATTATTATTATTTTTTTTTATATATTTTTTTCTTTTATTTTTATCTTATGTATTTATTATTTATTTATTTATTACTACTATTTATTAATATATATATATCCTTATTATTATTATTTTTTCTGTTAATATTTATATGTATATTTATCAG